CTCTCTCTCTCTCTCTCACACACACACACACACACACACACACACACACACACACACACACTATATTTCAAAGCAGTCTCTTTTCTATTATCAGTGTTCTAAACCTATGCATTTCTGGATCTCGACCTATAAACATGTAAGTATTAGAATAGCATCTCACCAGTCCTTGGTGTCTTCCTCTCTCCATTTGGGTTTCTTTATTAGGTAACATTCATGTATCAATTTAGTCACTTCCTTTCATGTCCTGGAATGGATCCCATCCGATCCTGGCCTTTTTTATTCCCCTGGCTTCCTGCATTCTGTTTCTTTCATCATCTCTCTTCTCATATGATCCTGAATTCCTGTTGTTTATAACTTAAAAAACCCAAAGAAATGCATATGAAGAATTTCCCCTCTTTGCCATGCTTATCAGGTTAGAGGAGAGTTGCAGGGACTGCCATGCTGTCATGGTTATTGGATGCTCACTTCCAGTGCAATGACTGTTGCCTATACCAGCTGTATGAGAGAAAAAGACCCTGAAGCAAGCAGTAAATGTCTCCTCAGAAACAATCCTCACCCCCCCCCCCCCCCCTCTCCTTCCTCCCAATTTTGACTGACTTACGCCTGGAAGCATGAAAGATCACATTCTTTCCAAACCTCTGCTTTGTTTATTCCAATTTCTCTGTCGTAACACTGGATATTCTAGCTATTTCTATAAATGTGTAGTCCATTTTCAGAGTCTTCTCAATGCCACTGACATATGATGGGCCTATGGGCTCTCCAACCTGATTCTGAGGTAAGATGAAAAAGATTTACTTTCCTAAATCAAAATTCTCCTGTCGTGAACTGTCAGATGCTCCCCCTTTCTGGGATTGTGACGCAGAGAGAAAAAAGACACTGGATCTGGCTTTCCTGTTTCTAACCATCCCCTATGGTTCATATGGTATAAATAACTCATGTCTTTGTGGGAAGTGTTTCTGTGAAACTTGCAAAGCTGAGGAATGAGAATGTTTGGAATCAAATAGCTCCTATAGCTTCTGAAGAGAGGGCTGGGGCACTGGCAAAAATGAGGCGTGGAAGATGAGTAAATGTTACATGAGGCTACACCTCCATGTGCATTCATGTTTAAGCAGGAAGGGGACATGAAAATGTTATCATCAATGTGTGGGTTTCTCTATCAGATGTGTACATCCTGTTGAACTATCATGACCAATAAACCCATAATCAGTAACAGCACGATGAGTTGTTAGAAACTCCAACATTCTTCCCCACACATCTCCCCCCCCCCCCCACAAAAACAATTCCCAAAGAAGGCAATGAATAAAGATGGAATGTTATATACCAAGAAATGTCAGGAAATACATCCTGAGTTTTTTGTGTTGCTCAGAGGTAGGCTCAGCATCTTGTGTTTCACTTACTTGCAATTAACTTTAGGCAGGTATGTGCTGCAAGAGCTGCTTTGATCAGAAACTGGCTTCAACGTTTTAAATATCCTCCTCATTAAAAATAGTCTAGGCTTCATAGAGCTCTAGAAATATCTCGCCACTTTTCCTTTACCAGCTACTAAAGATAGATGTTAAATAGGTCCCAACTGAGAAGTGAAGTATAGTTACTTTCAGAGAGACTTCTTTCTGATAAAAGCCAGATAAAACTGATACATAAAACTATATTTTACACCTAAATGGGGATTTTAGGCAGAGTGTTTAGCCAACAAGTTATTTTACATTTATGCTGCACAATCTGTCATCATCAATTACTCCCTCCTAAATTAATAGGTTTGAGTTAGATATACTACTGGGTTAAACTTTTGGAAATACAGTCATAGCCAGAATCATGCAAAAAAAGCTTGCATATGGCTGCTGTTGTTTGTTGACCATAAAGTATATTTTACTGTGTTTGTTGGTCTGAAATTCTTTACTGTGTTTGATAGTTTGGGAACCAAAGTCAGTTTTAAATAAAAATTGCCTCAAAACCTACATCTGCTATTTTACTTAAGAATAATTCTAACAAAGCCAGTGGAATAGAAATTATTATTTTATGCAAAGAATCCCCATGACCTGCTGTATTCATTTTTTAAAAAATGACTGACATTTCCTGAGTTACA